TGGGACATTTGCATATTCCCCCTGGGACCTCCAGCGAGAGCGAGCCCAACTCCCCTGGGGGCCCGGTCACAAGGACTCGATCAAAAACTTTTCGGTTTTCGTGATCCCCATGCACACACACTCCCACACCATCAGTTGCTTGTCGCACTCGGTAGGCTGTATTGGCTATTGGCTGAACCTAGCCTTTATTGTGCGTGCGGGTGTTGTTACAGGGTGAGGGTGGGAGATGTTGGTGATGGAGGAGATTCCGAGCGTTTAAGGTTTACTGCATTTCTCCTCTTGTGTTGTTGTTCTGTACTTACACCCGTTTCCCCATTGGTAATGTACATCAGTAGGTAGTGTAGATGCAGAAACGTAAATAGCATATCTGTGTCATATAAGTGAGTGAATGTGCACTTACCTCTCGATGGCGGCCGACGGGGACGCATCGGAGAAGCGGGCCCACGAAGCCGGGTCCCATCGGAGAGAGAGGACGTGCCGACATAGAGTGGTGAAGGGGGTCCAGAAACGGGGGTCCGGGGGGCCATGTCACACTGGCTCCGGTTCCGTCGGGAGAGAACGAGGAAGGGGCGTGGCGAGAGGCAGAGCGGGGCCATGCTCGAGGATATGGTGGTCGAGCGGGAGAGCTGTCCGTGTGTGGTCACATCAAAGGGAGCCGGAGAACATCAGTCGTAGGGACTCAGTGAGGCAGGGACCCCCTCTCCCTTTTTTCAGGTCTAGAATAGCGATGAGTATGGTTAACTTGTAAGCCTGTTAAAGTGTTAATAAATCGTGGTGCCTCCAGACTTCAAGATGTGCCTCATCAGATACACACTACATCTGGTGCCAGAAGTGGAAATACTTACTGCTAGGATTTGCATAGGATTCAAATGTATACGAGATGAAAACAACCTACCAAAAGATCTTCGGAGGAGGAAGATGAGGGTATGATTCCCCAGACAGCTCCGGAAGAGGCGGGTCAGGAGATGGACCTCGAGTGGTTTGGACCTGCAGAGCAGCGCCTGGAACATGACCTCACCACTCCGCCGGCGGCGGGGAGAGACAGGCGAGTGCCTGGCCAGTGGTTGGCCGATCTGCTGTCCGCCATGGCAGTACTTGTGGCAGAGATGGACCTGGACGAGCTGGCCAAACGAGTTGGAGGATCGGGGCCATGAGGTGAGGACTCCACCGCCGCTACATCCCAACCGCGGGAAGCGCGGGAGATGCAGCCCGCGCAGGCGGCCGCAATTTTGAGCGGTGCGTGGGAAGGGATTCCCGCTATTTCGGGCGTCCCGCCAAATGAGTGTGTGGAGGGTCCCGAGCTGAAGAGGTGCCTTCCCTTCATCAAAGAGTTTCACCATTCTGGCCAATTGCCCGATGATGCTGGATGTAATTACCAGCGAAACGTCGTACTCAAACTGTAAATGTTGTGGATTCACTCTTCAACACACCGGTGGGCTAAAATAGTTAACTATTTGTCTTTTGTCAACGTGACACTTTTTTGCTGATTGACCGTGTCGGGTGGTGGAGGGTTACGACACATTTATAAATAATGTGATCTAACCCAAAAACCTTTATTATGAATAATATTGGTCGCGAAAGCCTACGTGTTAAATGTGTCGTAAGAGTAAACCTTGAACGCTCAAAAAGAGTTTGTCGCAACAGGCAGAGATTGGATTGCTTTCAGCCACCGCTTCACTGCTACGTGCGAACTGGTGGGGTGGACAGAGGGGGAGGCGCTGCGGGCACTCCCTACGGTGTTGGATGATACCGCCTTGGGTGCGTTCTACTCCATTCCAGCCGAGGATCAGGTGACAGTGGCGCAAGCTCTTCAAGATTTTCGACCCGCCATCTAACATGCAACGTGAGGATTCCGAGACGCCTCTTGTTTTCCACAGGACACTTATTTCACTGGCCCAGGCAGCATATCCTAAAATGGACAAGGATGGCCTTGATGCGTTGATTTTGGACCGCATGCTGGGGTTGGCCCAAGAGCTCGACATTGTGCTGCCCACCTCAAAGGCAAGTGCCGAGCGAAGGTGGTGGTGTGCGCGGTTCCTGCTGAAGATGGAACAGCTGAAGAGGTCGAGTCCTCTCAAGCCTTTGCGTCGCTAAACGACGGTGGGTGGAAGATGACTGGGTCGGGGCGAAGGGACGACCATGATCGACGGCCGGGGGCCTCCTCCAGGCCTATGTCGTCCCTCGTCGTGTGCTTCAAGTGCGGCGTTCCAGGCCACATCTCCAAGGGGTGCCGGACCGACAGTGGGAGTACATCCAGGACGCTGGCATCCTCGGGATGACATTTTTCCGGGCCGCAGACCCAACAGGCGAGTCATGCTGCACGTCACACCTGGCCCTCACACTCACCTCATTCATCCGGCTCGGGTGTCGGTCTCGATTTGCGGGGGGGGAGGGGGGCCGTCCGCTCGTGCTGCGACCTGCTCAGTGGTCGGATTTGGGCCAATGTATTGTGGCTGCGGCCACGGCATCCTCGGCTGTCATTGGCTCGGTGCAAGGGATGGAGGTGTGGATGCTTATTGATACGGGAGCATCCGCTACCATCATATCTGAAACTATTTTTTATTGCTTACCTGCTAAATCGGCTACCCTCCGTCCCGTTGACGTCCCGTGTTTTGCAGCGAATGGCGGTTCTTTGGCCATTATGGGGCAAGTGTTGGCTACCATGGCCATTGGCGACATTCAATTAACCGGCCCGGTATTGGTTTCAAAATCGTTAGCCATTCTCTGCTTGTTCGGAACGGATTTCCTCGGGAAAATGCCCCTCAAGATCCTCATTGACCAAGGGTGCCTAGAATTGCCGTCCGGCCGTAGAATGGCCTTTTTGTCCTCCCCCACTCGACTGTGTAGGGTTAATGTAGTAATCCCTGCGCTCGTGCGGGAAACGGTTAAAATTCCCCCTGGGGCGCAAATGCTCCTGCCCTTGCGCCTCAGGAGGGAACTTGATGGGGAGGCCGCCAAGGGAGATGTGCTGTTAACACCATCCAATGAAGTGAACCGGGGACTTACGTTGGTGGGAGCCCAAACTATCATGAGAAGTGACCAGCAACCTTTCATTCAAATCCTTAATGCTGGTCTTGGGCCCACTGTAATACAGGCGGGCACAGTCCTAGCTCACGCATCGCCTGCAGATGGCGATGTAGGGGGACGGGCCCCGTTTGGATTATTGACGCATGGGTGGACACACTCTGTGCCAAAAGCCCTGACTTGTCGGAGGTGCAGAGGTCAGCGTTGCATGCGCTCCTTGTGGAATTCTCGGATGTGTTTTGTAAAACTAAATATGACATTGGCCACACGTCGTTGGTACACCATCACATCGACTCGGAAAATGCGGCCCTTATTCACCAGAACCCGTACAGGCTAAGCCCGACTGAGAAGGAGCATGTTCGCCATGCGGTCAAGGAAATGCTAGCCGAGGATATTATCGCCCCTTCCACTAGTCCATGGGGGGCTCCTATTGTCCTCGTCAAGAAGCAGGATGGCACCTTGAGGTTTTGTGTGGATTTTCGAAAGTTGAACAAGGTGTCTGTTGCCAATGTGTACCCGTTGCTGCTACCCTTGACTTACTTTCCGGCTTTTGGCAGTTGCCCTTAGACGATAGTTCCAAGCTTAAGACTGCATTTCGTACTCCCCAGGGCTTGTTTGAGTTCAATCGTCTTCCCACGGAGCTAGCCACGACCAGTGAGGATATAAACCAGGTCCCCAGAGGGGGTCAGCGTTGCTGTTGTTATCCTGAAGATCTACGTTCTACGTTCTACATCCGAGAAGAGTTACCAACACATGGATCTGGACCCAAGCCGGGGTCCTGTCCATTGTAGCTACTCCCAGTGTAATTAGTGAAGTTAGCCTGATGGTCCACCAGCATAGGTTGTTATCTGGTAAAGGGGCAGTTACCCCTTTGTGTTGGTATCAATAAATGTGTTGCCTCCAAGGAGTACATCTGCGACTCAGTTGAATCCACTACAAATATATTATGGTAATTTGGATGAAGAGCATGCCTTTGGAATAGAATGCAAGACATTTAGGATTTCATATTCAACTGAGATTAGAATAACAATAGCAATAGACAATGTGAGTGAAGTGACCAGCGATTGGTTGTTACATCACCATTGCAAGCTGATAGATATAGTTCATGTATTCCAGCAAGAAAGGCCCAATAAGATGTTAGCCTGTCTTTCATGGACATGCTGTGACGTTGCAGATGTTATACAGTACAGATCTTAGTATAGGAGATGCTAAATAAACATTGTCTTTACCTAAAAGCAAATAGTGAATATTAAATATCTGACATACAAGATACCACTTTTTTTAAAGAAAGTGTTTAAAATGTGCATGGACGAACCTAAATTACAGTGAAACCTTGGATTGCGAGTAACTTGGTCTGCGAGTGTTTTGCAAGACGAGCACATTTTTTAAGAAAACAATAATTTGATAAACGAGCGATGTCTTGCAATACGAGCAGTACGTACAGTATACGTGTTGTCTGCCGAGCGTCACGTGATCACAACTGAGCCAATGGTTCTTCTCTATCTCTCGCTGCGGGATTGTGGGTAATCGTCTCCCATGCTCGTTCTCAGTCGGCGTGCCTCACTCGTATAGTCAACATCCGTGCGAGCGTATACTGTTTACTATAGTACTATAGTGTTGTGACCACGTGTATACTGTTTACTACAGTACTATAGTGTTGTGACTACGTGCGTGTGCATAAAGCATTTTTTTTATTTTGTATCCAAGTGCAGTGACTTGTTTAGTAAATGTATTGCAAGTGAAAGTCGTCCTACACAATAACTCTTCTCCTCCTCTCCTCTCTCGTTTCCCTCACACCAGTAATAAAATTTATTAATTAATGCAATTAATACATTTGATTACTTTATATAAAATTTAAATAATAAAAATATAAAAAGGTATTTTGTATTAATCATTTTTATATGAATACAGTATTTTTGGGTTGTGGAACGAATCATCTGAGTTTCCATTATTTCTTATGGGGAAATTCGCTTTGATATACGAGTGTTTTGGATTACGAGCACGTTTCCGGAACGAATTATGCTCGCAATCCAAGGTTTCACTGTACAAGTAAAATTGAGCATATTCTCATGGAAACAGCTCAGGATTGTCAGAGCATCTTTGTCATAACCTAATTCAAATTCAATAACTGATCACGGGCTGGAATGTTCCAAATTACCATTTAATATCACCACATAGAGCAAGCTAATGAAATACAAACAAGTTCGTAAAAAAAAAGTTTAGGATGTAGGAAAATGTAGACTGATTCGACATAAATTCATAATTTATCATACTTGTCATCTCACTGCCCAAAAGAAGGGCTGTTGTTTAAAATGTCAGTGTACCATATACTGTTCCAATATAACGAAGTGTTGTGAATAATGTGTGAGTGCTGGTTGTGCTGTGGCTGCTCACCATTGCCAATCTAGTCACTTAATTTCATGTCTAAAGGATTGACTATTATTTGTTATTGCTTGCTAGACTTGCATATTGATTGATGACGGATTTATAATATTTTTCAAATCATCACACCAGTCCTGAATTACTGAAACAATGCCGTATGTTTGTCTGTCATTTGAGTTTGTGCTTTGGAACCAAAGATAGTACAAGAACGAACCCCTGTGTACTTGGCAGCGGTGGTGACACAGTACCAAAAGCACTGCCGATGATAGCTTGTAGCTAAAGTCCTAATAGCTCATTAGTGACTGGTCTTGCTTCTACTTTACATTGCCTCACCAATATCAAAACTGGGGTTGGTTGTACCCATGCTTGCTGTGTGACATTTCCCGAGTGGTTTACTTGGGACTGCAGCTGATGCAACTTTCTCCACAACCTGCAGGACAATGAACAATGCGCAATGGTGATTTATAATGACACACATATATCCCACCTGCTTTATACATATTGATATAAACATTTCACAATGATAATCAGGAAGTTGAACTGAACTAAAAAAATCTGTCATCGTTAACCAGAAAAACTCTACATGTATTGTCGTTGGTTAACCGTAAATGGCAACCATGTGTGCTTTCTGGAGCATGGAGTGATGAGACACGCACACACACAGAGACAAAAAGACAGATAATGGCATATGGATAGAGAACCAAAGAGTGACACAGAGAGACAATGAAATAGACAGACAAAGGGATATAGACAGACACAGACATAAATAGACTATGAGATAGACACATTAATTGTTTCTTAGGACAATTTACCTCTAACTATGACATAATGTACACAAAATATTGGGGTAAAATACAAATTACCTTGAAGTCAAGAGTAATTTTCATGAATACTATATGACATGCTAACTAATTGGTTATGCTCTCATTGAATTATGTACTGTACTCACATTACCATTACACATATAACAATAATGTGACAGGTACTTAAATCGTTAAACTTGTCCCGGGCTGCAAACCGAGGTCAAAAACACGATTCCCCATAAAATGTTACTAATGAACACTATTTTGACCTACAGTTTTCCTGTTTTCGGTTACCCAAACCGAACTATAAAACCCATCAGTTCGATTCTCCGATTATTAATATTTTTGTTACAGCCCTTTGCTCATTGAAAGCGTCCTCTCAAAGTGAAGGTCATGGGGGTTGTTTGTCCATACTACAGCCTACTGGTCAGTGCGGACTTGTTGCAAACTACCAGTTCAGATATCACTGGTCCCTTGTGCTAGCTATGGCTATAGATCCAAATTAGGATGCCCGGTTAAGTGTGTAGTGCACTAATCAATGTCACGACTCCACACATGGATAATCCCAATTAAATAAGAAGGGAATTGTGCTGACGAACAATTAGTACAGTTAATATATTGCATTCATTTCTGTGCCTATCGATTCATATTGACCAATCAGAACACTTTTTAGATTTTGAGAATAAAGGGATGACGACCACCGGCGAAGTGCAGCGAGTGGTGGCGCCCTGTACTGGATGTGGAAGCAAAATATTACATAATAGTGCTCTAAAGGGGTCTCACAGAGAGTTCATTATCGGCCATCACAGTTTAGTCGTCGTGGTACTCACTGCAATATCTGAATGTGATTTCCTCCAACTGCACGGGAGACAGGACCTCACGAGAAGGGAAGGGCTAACTTCTTTCCCTTTCCTACCACCTGTCGACAAACAACAGCGCACAGCTCAGCTTCAAACGATCTTTCTATTTTCTGGAATGAATCTGATATCAGGCATATTCTAGTGAGATTTTTAGTAATATGTCCTGCATACTTTCAGATGAAAATAAACAATTCTAATTTATATAATTACAATGACCTCGTCTCGAATCTTTGCATCTGATAGGCTCATAGTGATGACATAATTTTGCTTTATTTGTGACCAGAAGCAGGATGACTTCGTCACAATTCTGGCAAATCGCCTAATGACGCTGGTTCTAATCACCAGCGAAACGTTGTACTCAAATTGTAAATGTTGTGGGTTTACTCACCACTGCTGTACTGAATAGCTAATTAGCACATTTTGTTCATGTGACAAACCTTACTAATTAACTGTCGGGTGGAGGTGAGTTAACACATTTATATATATGTGATCGAACCCAAAAACCTTCATTATGAATACCATTGGTCGTGAAAGCCCACGTGCTAAATTAATATATCAATCAGATCTTAGTATCTTACCTGTCAGGACACTGACGAACATTCCCACAATGACCACTCCCAAGGTCCCCACTGCACTGTAGTAAAGGTAGGACAGAGAATACCAAGTGCTGGCTATAGCAGGCTGATCCGGAGGAAGCCTGCAGAAAGAGAACGGCACACAAAGGATACCTCAGCAATATCCTCATGAAACCCCTTGCACGTGGTCCCGCCGCGTCCGAATAGATAATTGCGTTTTTGTTGTTGTATCCTGTTATTGGAATCTCCTCGTGTGGTGTGCTGGGCCCACATGTTATTGCAATAATGAAAATAATATATTCATGAATAAGCAATGGTCCAAAAGAAATGGGATAATTAATGCGTGAAGCTCAATATTTAGTTTCGAAGTGTTCGTGGAGTACATTATATTGTAAAACAAAAAAAATTACAACCAGCAAATGAGCTCATCATATGCTTCATAATTTTTCAAGTGAAATCATGGGTAAGCAACTATGTACCATTCCAACTAAGCAACATGTACTATGCCATTCATTTTCATTAGTTTGGAGGCGACATAGAAAACTGTATAAAAGTAAACAACTATTTACCCTAGATTTGAAGCTTTTGTGACTGCAGGAATTACTCTTTTGTAATTTTTTTAGGTAAAGTCACGTAAAAAATAAAATAATAATAAAATGCAACGTTTCGGTTACAACACAAGCAGCCATCATCACACTGCTCCCTCCTTGTCCCCTCGTTTTTCTGCTGGTCCCCTCGTTTGTCCGCCTCCCCAGTCCTCTCTCTGCCCCGGCCCCTCCCCCCTCTCTCTATTTAAGGCCTCGGCACAGATTCGTTGTCCTTCTGTTTGTCTTGGTGTGTGTCTCGCTCGGTGTGTCTTTGTGTGTGTCTCTCTCTGCATGTGTGTCTGCTTATGTTGTTTCCGTGTCTGTGTTTTAACATTAATTCTTACCTGATGATGGCTGCTTGTGTTGCAACCGAACCGTCATATTCTATTATAATTTGATTTGATTTTCTACGTGACTTTACCGAAAGAACCAAAGAGTAGAACTATTTACCCATTAGATGTCGGAGCCAGCAAGGTTATGATCGTTTGATTGAGGAAACTGTCAGTCTGGTTAAGCCACAGGCATCCACTGGTGTTGAGAGGTAAGGGCAGAGTTTTGTCAACCGGTGGAGGATAGAATTGTGCTCCAACTCCAACCCACAACGCCAAGAGAAATCCCGCAGTCAGACCAGCAGCAGCACCCTATGGCAGAGATATTCACAACATGCAGTCACATTAACGTTAGCCCAACATTACTACTTATGTGTAATTATTAGGCACGCAATGATTAATCGATTCAAATAGATTCTTATGCTCACAATATATGCATCTAATTGTGCTTGTGAGAATCTATTATTAACACAACAAAAAATCGTAATTGTTTTGCATATAACCTGCAACAATAATTGGTTTTATTGATACCACAATGGAAAAACAACAAAAAATCTACAACCAAGTCACGAACCCAAACCATGAAGTTCATAGAATCATGTGTAATGAGCGACTTCCGCAACACGTCGTGTAGAGGGTACTCTCTTCTTTATTCACATTCGGGCACACCACAGGCCATCCTTATTCTCTTACTTCTCCGAGTACACACGTAGATATTAGCATCCATACCAGCTACACGTGGTCGATCCCACAGTGTGGTTCCGTCCGCCTACTTACTCCCAGCCTCGCCACTGGTTGACGGCATGCCGGCGAGGGTGGTGGGACTTCGCAGGATATCTGCCATGTGGCCGAACGATGGAAAGAGATGACGGCGAGCAGCGACGCAGTCTGGACCCAAGGCTCCCCACACCGACCACAAATCTGTCTCCGCTTATATTTCCGCAAGCACGGCTAGGCTCCTCCTCCGGCCACGTCATCTCTTTGAACCTTCTAGCCGGTTCCTGGAGTATCTCGTCCAGCCCCGCCCTTTACCTTTGGCCCAGACACCTCTCCGTTTGAGATTGCATGATGTCTATAGTGGTGTCTGTACCCGTGCTTCCCTTTTCCAATCAGTAGATATCACTATGTCATTACATCACCCCCAAACCCCCCATAATAAAAAAAGTATCTGTCCTGGATAATATTCAATTAACATGGAAGAGCACGTATGCACAGAATAAGATTGACAATAAAGAGGTATAAAAGCAGGACTTGTGGCGTGTGCTTTAAAGGACAGGACAACCCGTAGAACAATTTACCCGCAATAATGAGGGGACATGAAGGGGATATACAAAAGAAGGGAACAAAACGCAACAACTCTTAGGCACTCCGACTTTCCCGATCAATCCCAGAGCAAGAATAAACGAAACTGCAAGCATTTGGACCGAGTCCACGACGCTGGTCTGTCAACGGAGATGGCCTCCTGCTCCCGCTCGGGCGGCGCGCCAACCACCGGATCGTCCGGAGATGCAACATAGGAGGCACAGGAGCAGCAGGCTCGGCATCAGCAGGCACATCCTTGATCCCGGCGAAGTCCCGAGCCCCATCCACGGTCACAGACCCGGATGCTGTTGGCATTGAGGTTGAGCCGTCGGAGGGGCAGCGGGCGCTGGAGCAGCAGTCGGTGTTGGAAGGCGATTCTGTCATCCCCTCGCAAAGTGCCCCAGCTGGCCACAGCGGAAACGGGCCAAAGGCAGCCTCTGCACCACCCAGTCCTCGCGTTGACACGGTCTCCAACTCCATCAACGGCGCGCAGTGTCCCACCGTCTCCGATTCTACGGCGGAACTGCAGCAGCAACGTCCCCCTCCGAAGACGCATCGCCGGCCGGAATCACCACAACTGTGCTCGGCGACCATCCCTTTGGTTCCCTGTCTCGACTGGGGTCCTCTGTCCACGCCGCCATCTGAAACCAATGCTGTAGATTTTCATGGGCCTGAAGACACCTGGCAGCCCATCGGGACGTTTGAATGTCTTCGTCACACACAGGAAGATCACCCCCATGTCTCTAGCCAGTACCAACATTCGTTCCATGACGAGCGAGTCGAGGGCGTCCGGATTCACACCAGGGTAAGCTATTCCCACTAACGCCAACAGTGCACTGCGATAGGCGAGAGGCATCTCGGCTTCCCCTTACCTACATAGAAGAAATTTGCATCGCGTGTCGGAAGGCGGCTCGTACAAGTCTGCCATCTCAGCATAAGCACCTTGAAGTGTGGACTTTTTCTCTGCAGGAATAGCTCTGAAGACCGCAAGAGCATCGTCATCCAAAACAGTCAGCAGAGTTACCAGCGCCTCTTCCTCCATCCAATCTACTGAACGGAAAGCCGCCTCGAATCGCCAAGTGAAGGCGCTCCTTTCGCCGCCTGCCACGACAAATTATTTATCTTGAGGAAGTCTGCGAGTACGATAGGTCCCACTCCCCACGTCCTTAGCGGCGGCTGCCACACCTTGCGCACTGTGCGACTCTTGTAAAATGGCGGACTCCGTCCGTGCCTCTTCCGCGCCGCCTGAAATGGTGGCGTCCGGCTGCGTGCTCCCCTCAGCATGCGTAATGGTTGCCGTCGCACCTGCAGACGAACCTAACGAAACTTCCACCCCGGACTCCTGGTCGCTACCTCCCGGTGATGCGTGTGTTGAGTGCCCCGCCACCGTAGATGCTTTGAACGAGGGACACCAGCTGCACAACCACCGCCCGCAACAAGTCCAACTGCTCCGTCACCTTCCTCCAGCTGTCTTCGGGCTGCTGGTGCATAGATGTCACATCCGCGCCGACCGTCTCCGGCGCAGCAACCAGGACCACGGTTCCCGCGGTTGGCAGGTCTTGGGTTCCATTTCATCATCCTTGGAAGACTCCACCGGTGGGTTATGCTTCTTCTGATATTGAAACATCTTCTGTTAACTTGTAATTCTTGTTAAACCACTTCTGAATCCAATGTAATGAACGACTTCCGTGATATGTCGTGTAGAGGGTACTCTCTTTTTTATTCACATTCGGGCACACCACAGGCCAACCTTATCCTCTTCCTTCTCTGAGTACACAAGTAGATATTAGCATCCCTACAGGCTACACTTGGTCGATCCCACAGCGTGGTTCCGTCTGCCCACTCCTGGCCTCGCCGCTGGTTGACGGCGTGTTGGCGAGGGTGGTGGGACTTCGCAGGAGATCAACCACGTGGCCGAATGATGAAGAGAGATGACGGCGAGCAGGGACGCAGTCCGGACCCAAGGCTCACCACACCGACCACGAGTCCTCCTCTGCCTCCGCTTATATTGCCGCAGGCACGGCTAGGCTCCGCCTCCGGTCACACCCTCTCGTGGAACCTTCTAGCCGGTTCCCGGAGTACCTCGGCCAGCCCCGTCCTTTACCTTTGGCCCAGATACCTCTCCCTTTGGGATTGGATGATGTTTATAGTGGTGCCTGTACCCGTGCTTCCCTTTTCCAACTAGTAGATGTCACTATGTCATTACACATGTCTAATTAACTAAACCCAATTATCAATATTCAGCTTACTCATATAATAATAATTACAACTTAAATCCTTTCATCAACCTACTGCCACGTTAAGCATGGTGGTCTTTCTTACGTAGTCATTGCTGCAAGGGAAGAGAATTCCCAAGATGAAGACGCCGAGCATGGGGCCTCCCAGAATCCCAAACACCATCAATGCCGCCTGAAAAACAAAAACTGCCATGGTGAAAATGTGGTCCCAAGCATGCTGTACCTTCATCACGGCAGAATCAAATCAGGGTTTTCCAAAACTATTTTTTTTACTGTGGTCTCTTATCAAAAGCATTGCCTAATAGGAGACCACACTCCTTGGATATATCATTCAAGGAGTGGAGAAACATGCGTTTAGAGTATTTGGCTGCTATAAATGTCCACGTGATAAGACACTTCGTTGAGCAATCAATTGTGGCCAGGGCGCTTCTGAAAAAAGAGTTATGTACATAGCTCAGTGGGCCTTACCTGAAGATTACCGCTTGTGTTGCGATCGAAACGTCATAGTTTTTTCGTTATTATTTTTTATTTTCTTTGAACCTATCTCCGTGACTGTACCGAAAGACACAAGAATATGAATTCCTGCAGTCACGAAAGCTTTAAGTCAAGATTAAACAAATAATAGTTTAGTTTTAAATAATTGTCATAGTTTGATTAAGTTTTCACTTCATTGCAATTTGAGACATGCATCTTACTGATGGTCATGACTCATAAAATTGGAAACCCTGGTCTGATGCATGAATTAGCTGCTCATATTCTTGGTTCTTTCGGTAAAGTCACGTAGAAGGGAAACAATAAAATAAGAAAAATATAAAACAATAAAATTATCACGATGTTTCGACTGCAACACAAGTAATCATCATCAGGTGTGAAAACCACAACAAGAAATTTTGAAAAAAGTGGCGTTTTTTTTACGTTAGCACCACGGAGAGCGATTTGGCAGTTATTCAGATGGACGAGTCCATTTATGTTCGGAAAAGAGGAGCGGGGAAATGAAAAAAATGGATGCAGTCTGAAAGCCACCGTAAGCGTGAACAGTCACGAAAATAATGGACGCGGTCTGAAAGCCACCGTAAGTGTTAACATGCGGGTGCATATGCACCCGTATGTTCACCCCTTCTACACCTTTCATCATGCTAAGTCCGCCAATAAAACATTTTCAAAGAGTGGTACCCCAAACTTTCGCAGCACATGCGGATGCATGTGCACCCGCATGTTCACCCTCTCTACACCTTTCATCATGCTAAGTCCGCCAATTAAATGCTAATTTTTATGCTAATTCCTTTGTCAAGGCACCTTAATCCCTCTCACACAGCTTAAAGGCCGTGGTCTGAGCTTGGCTCTGTTTCACTCCAGCGCAGTCTTCGAGACAGTCTGGTCCCTTCACCTGATGAAGGCTGCTTGTGTTGTGGCCGAAACGTCGTGATTTTTGTTGTTTTATTTTTTACCTACGTGACTTCACCGAATAGAACCAAAGAGTATGGATCCTTGCAGTCACGAAAGCTTCAAATCTAGAATGAATATGAGCGCAGCCCACAGCTGGTGTTTTTTTACATGGAATTTGTTCAGCGCCATCATTGTACAATTTTTTTTTTATTGTGTGCAGGTAAAAACGAAACCAAATCATACACACGATCATGTACAGCTGTGAAGACCACAAGCATTGTTTAGGAAACCCACAAGATCAACACACCATGCTTTCGCGGTATGGATAGCTGTTAATATCCGCGTGCCCACAATAGCCAAGCCACAAGTGATCATAAATATTAGCCTGATATTAGTCAATAATCCATGCTCCCACTTGGTCCATGCTGTGCTCATTAGCAGTGAGTTGTTGCCACTGTGCCTATTTGCAGAAAAAATCCCATAAACTTAGGAAGAACAAACTAAGCGCAAACGCAAATGTGTAGATTGGTATTCTGTGTGGAGTCATGGGTGGTCATAAAATTAGTGCTAATTGATAACCACGGGCGGAGTGATTCACCCCCTGTGCTTCAATGAATTGCTGTGATTTATAATTGTACGTAATGGATCAATTATTTTTTTAATTGTGGTGAATGTAATGACCTCTAGTGGTTGCAGTAGGTCACTTGAATGCTTAACACGTAGGCTTTCGCGACTAAGGGGACGTCCATAAATGACGTCACGCGATTTTTGACGATTTTTGACCCCCCCCCCCCCCTCGTCACATGGCGTCACAAATATCTCCCCCCCCAGGTGCGTGACGTCATTTATGGACGGCCCCTAATATTATCCATAATATAGGTTTTTTGGGGGGTACATCGTGTAAATATAAATGTCGTTACATTTTTTTGCTGCTGATAAGGGCCGAGCAACTGTTGTGATGCCTCATGAAAATTACGATAATAAAATCAAAGATTTACTCGATGAAGGAACCTACCTTAAAATTAAACGAGACCCAACCAACACCTTGGAACGTAAGACAATGACAATCATTGCCAAGTCATCAATTCCCAAGGGAGAGCAAGACCTGATCAAACCTAGGGCGTCAAAACCACCAATACTTTATGGGCTACCAAAAAGTATTAGACCCATAGTTTGTATAAGAGGCTCTGCCACATACAAATTATCACAATACGTAACGAAACAAATACAGCCCGACAACGATAGGATCTCTTCGTTCATTATAAACTCAGAACATCTCGTAAATACAATTAAAGATATTCCCGTAAGTTTGATGTGATTTCTCTGTTCACCAGGGTTCGGGTTAAAGAGTCACTTCAAATACTCGATACTCTGGTAACGATGACAGGTTTAGCCAAAGATATCTCACGACTAGCTGAACACTGTTCCTTCTGGAAAAGTGATTTTCATAAACAAAAGGAAGCAGCAGCAATGGGTTCTCCTTTGTCTCCTGTGATTGCAAATTTGTACTTGGAAGATTTTGAAGCAAAAGCAAAAGCCTGAAGCACTCTAAAACCCCCTGCTTGGTTTAGATATTTGGATGGCACACTGGTGGTCTGGGCTCACGGCAAAGATACACTTAAAGAATTTCTAAATCATCTCAACTTGCTAAAACCATCCATCCAGTTCAGCATAGAAGTGGAAGTTGACATAACTCTCCTATTTATGTATATTATGCTCGAACGCGGCCGAAATGGTAAAATAACATAGCGTTTACCAAAATAAAATGCACACTGACACCTATCGGAATGCAGTCACACCATCCATCACCCCACGCAGAAATCCTTTCTCATCAAGATGCTCATACATCGCGCTAAGAAAGTGTCAGATGGTGATAGTCTGATAAGTGAAATGAAACATGTAAAAGCAGCGCTGCCATTGAACGGTTACAATGATGCACAAATCAACAGGGCAACCATTGGAAGGACGTGATTAACCAGCGCAGCGACCAGCTCCACAACCTGGTCTGACCAGTCTTCCTCTCGCGGCGCAGCAGCCAGCTCCGCAGCAGCAGTGAGCTCAGTAGCAGCCACCTCCGCAACAGCGAAGCTCCGCAGTAGCGAGTTCCATAGCAGCGAGTTCCATAGCAGCGAGTTCCATAGCAGCGAGTTCTGCATCAGAGGAGTTCTGTAGCAGGAGCGTGCTCCGCACCCTCACGCGTTAGCACGGCCATCTTTTAGATCGCTAACACGGCTGCTTTTGTCACACATGGACAGGCAACCACCGGCATGGCTGCATCGACTTGCTCATCTCTCATTGACTTTAACAAGGTATTCTCATTGACTTCGCTCATGTGCTTTTACATGCTTTTCTCATTAACTTGAACATTGCTATTCTTTTGATTTAAAGCTTTCGTGACTGCAGTAATTCATATTCTTAGTTTTTTCGGTAAAGTCACGTTGAAGGGAAACAACAAAATAATATATATAAAACAATAAAAAAAATTTTCACGACGTTTCGACCATAACTCAAACGGTCGTCTTCAGGTGTGTTGGTTTGCATACATTTATTTTTTATAAATAAATAAATGCGCCGTTTAAAAATAAATTTATGCAAACCAACACACCTGAAGACGACCGTTTGAGTTATGGTCGAAACGTCGTGAGAATTTTTTATTGTTTTATATATATTTTATTATTTTGTTGTTTCCCTTCAACGTGACTTTACCGAAAAAACTAAGAATATTGCTATTCTTTGTTACACATAGACTGACATTAACGTGCACATTTTTTCATTAACTTTTACATGCTTCTCTCATCAAAACACATATGCTAATCCTACATTTAATCTGAGCTCGTATACGTTACGGAAGCTCATTAACTTTGCACTATAATCCAACATGCTGACCTAAGTTAATTTCCTTTAACATGCCACGTTATTTATTACCTTTACACTATAATACCCCAGTAACACTACTTCGGCTAGCTTTGTTCTCAAAAGCGTATATAAACTCTTGCTGGTAACAGCTTCTCTTCACAAGGCAGCAGACATCGTGCTGCTCACAGCAGACATCGCGGCTGTCGCGATTTTCACCTGAAGACGAACGCTTGTGTTTTGCGTTCGAAACGTCATGATTTATTTTGTTTTATTTCTACCTACGTGACTTTACCGAAAGAAACGAAAAAGTATGGATTCCTGCAGTCACGAAAGCTTCAAATCAAGATTGAACCGCATCTACATCTGTTAGAGCTTTTAAAAGACTGCGAGACAAGAAGGCTCACATGGTCGAGTCTCTCACCTTTCTGAAGAGATGCCGTGAACACAAGATAATACCGATCGCTTTAACTCTCACTTCTGCTTCTGGGACTTCTCCTAACGCTAAACGTATCCGGTTCAGAGCTAGCCTATCTCTAATCTCAAAGAGGATAAGACTGCTCCGTTTTGAACTGGATAATTTAGACAAAGTTCTCCTACAATCACACTTGACATTAACAGATAAAATGTCCACATCTGATTGGGACCTTGTAGATAACATGATTGCTTCTTCTGCTGCAACAATGTCCTCCAAAGTCAAAGTTAACCTGATTGCTAAAATCAACAGCCTGTCAAAATAGAAACCAGAGCCACATTAAAAAGCTAGATGTTAACAAGATTGTTTTCAATCAGAGTAACAGCACAATTTCCGATAGCCTAAAATCAGTACTAGTTAGAGGGTTGAATTTTGCAATAACCCCAAAATCACATCCCAGTGGATGATATAATTGGCCAGGTTGATGTATCCCTCAAAGGCTTGGGACACATCACAGC